GAAAATGTTTTCTGTAGACTGAACATCGCGTTAATTGGGTGCCAGCAGTGTCCTGAAATAAGCATTCACTTATATGCACGCCAGACCCAGACGTGCTTTAAAACTGCATTTGAAATATTTGGGTCACACACTGGCGCAAAGTGTCGTTGTAAATTTCATTGCTTTTTGTTACAAACGTCTTGAGGTGTTCAAATATACGACACAGACGAACAACAAAGCTCATTTCACGCTTACATGTCTATGCATGGAAGACAAATCTTCTTTGTAAGTTAGAGCATTCTAATAATCCTAGATTCTGAGTTGGTATTCTACCAACGATATCTCAACTCAAATTTCAAATCATTAGCTCGCACAAATCACATTAGAACAGCCTATGTAATTCCAGCTCCCTGTTCGGACTGGTTCCCGGAAGTAGCACTTGGGGTGGGCATGCTCCAGAAGTTCCGGCTTACTGTCTCCTCTAGTTGCTGAGCTGAAAGGGAGCTACAAAACATGAACACATAGATACACACACATGCACACACAACTTCTTGCTAAATATATTTGTGCGTCTGCCAAATAGGTACAAAAAGAATAGCCGCGCTGGTGCTGTGATGTGGACTGATGCTTATTGATTTGCATACTGGGTGGATATAAAAGTGTTATTCATGTCAATCGGCTGCATTGTTTCGGACGAAATCTGCATTGCGCGTCGCTTTGTTTGCAGTAATTGGGCTTCCTCAGCTTTTTTATTGTTGGTTTGTTTTACCGATTACAGTGCCAGAAATGTGGGTCATTTGCTCCTGAAAATGCACAAGATTTAAAGCTTGAAAAGCATCTGAGACAACTATCGTTCATAATGTTGGCAACAGCATTACGCAACAACTGACTCAGGATTTTCTGAAGCAGAACTGCAGGAATTCTGGAGCGGAAACCCAGTAGTGACGTTTCGTTTTCCTTAAACAATAATTAATTTCGAAATTTAAAAAAGTATTCACATCCTAAAACAGTACTTGCTCAATGGGCTACTGATGTTGCTGAGATGCAAGCGTACGCAAAGCAAACTTTTGACATACCTTCCTGTTATTCGCTTTCAGTTTTAACTCACCATTCCCATAACTCATCATTTCCCATTTCATCGGAACGGCCGTTCTTTCTTTCATAAGTACTGTCGCCGTTATCGTCGGCGGCATTCCCTGTACACGTGGACTGCTCTGTTGTTGCAGTAACGGTGTCATGCACACCACTCACTTTGTAAGATATTCGACGAAATCCTATTAATATACGAACTTTGGACAGTACCCTGCTGACTCAGCGGGTAATACATTATACGGAATTTCCTGTGCATCTGACTATCCGTTTGATTACAAATATGGTTGGGAATAGTAAAATTTTAATAATATATTTTAATATGTGTGTTTGTATGTGATGATGATGTGTGAATTTATCCAGTGGAAGCGTGTGTGTGAACGAAGTAAACTATGATGAGTCCTATTATACTTGTCGTATGAACCCAGAGGAGGTTATTAGATCGTAGTTGAGTAGCAGCGGTATAACTTTGATAATATAAACCAATCTCTTCTTGTGGGCACTGTCTTTATAAGAGAAGTTTATGAAAACAATAACTGCATCAG